TACCACGTAACATTCTGTCGCGGCATAGCGGCATAGCTGTCCGTTCATAGCCCACAACAGCTTAGTGAAACGCTATGTGAAATGATGAAAGCTGATTCTGACAATGTGTTCATTGTCCTCTATATGGCATACCCTCACGTTTATTTTTCGTACCGAGACCGCCGACACAGTTTTCAAGCCTTGTATTTTGTGATTGCTGCTTTTCTACTGACTGCTGACGATTTACTTTCACCGTAGCTTCTTAAAGAACCGTTTCGCTATTACGTATATGATGAGTGATGTACATTAGCTTTTGCGCAAATTGCGTACTATTTCATGTCTGACAACGCATATTAGGGTTGGACTGAGGCTGGCTGCGGCAGGTGCTGATCGTGAGCATGCAACAAGTGGTCGAGCGATATTTTCCATTCCTGGGGATGTCAGCGGGGGCCCTCGCGGTACCCACCCTGACCCAAAACAAACCCCCTCCGCGCCGGATCGGGTCCGCTCCGCGAGTACGTTCTCCCCGTCTCATGACCCAGCGCAGGAGCCAGCTCCTCAACAGAGGAGCGCGTGCAGGAACCAGGTCCCCAGCAGAGAAGTCCGCGCAAGAGCCACCTGCCCGCGTAGGAGCTAGCTCCTTTGCGGATCAGCCCGCGTAGGAGCCAGCTCCTTAGCAGATAAGCCCACGCAGAAAGCAGCTGCCCTGCAGAGCAGCCGCTACACTCGCACAAAGCCGATCGGCTCCGCGCGAGGCTGGTCCGACCGGCGGGACGGTGCCGTCCAGTGACGCAGTTCGCCAAGGGCCGCTGCCGTCTCAGATGTCGAGCTTGCGCACGCTAGTGAGCCGGTAACAGCTGCCGGTGCGCGTCCGTTTCGTCTCCAGACGGTACTCGGTCTTGTGTTCGGGGCAGTAGACGTTCTCCACGTCGACGTACTCGTCCGGCCGACGACGATCACAGGCGCTGGCGCAGCGCCGCTCGCAGCGGCGGTCGGCCATGGCGGCGCGGTACGAGCGCGCGTTCAGGGTGGACATGTCACGCATATACACCACCGGCGGCGCCGAGCCGCGTCGGGTCGGCTGGCAGTGCTGCCGCTTGGATGCCAGCCACTGCTGGTAGGCAGCCTCGCTGACGGCGCGCGACCGCTTCTGCACCAGCTGGCGGCGTTCCTTGCACTGCAGCCGCCAGCGGCACCGCTCCATCTTCATCTGCTGCTTCTTGTAGCGTAGCCACGTGCAGAACGCCTCCTGCGCCTTGGTCTGGCGCACCTCCTCCTGGCGCCGCTTCTTGGCCTTGTCATGCGACCTGGGAATCGCTCTCCGCTTCTCGCGGTCGTTCATGTGCCACGCTTTGAAGTACGAGTTCAGCTCTTCGATGGTTGGTTTATCCTTGTTCTGTTCGGCGCATTTCGCTTCTTCCTCCAACCGCCTCCTGTGAAGGATGCTCTTAAACTTCTGCTCGTACTGCATGGAGACGTCTCCCTTCGGGTCCGTCGCGCCACTACCGCCTGCTGGCGGCGCCTGCGGCGGCGGTCGGGACTTCTTGACGCTCTTGGGCCGCGGTGGCGGAGGCGGCGGCTCATCCTCCGCAGCGTCTTCCTGGTCTCCGTCGTCCGCGGCCGTTTTGTCAGCATCGTCTGACCCGCCCTCTCCGCTGTCTCCCGTGGTCCCCGTTCCACTCCCAGATGTGGGTGACGTACTGCTTGACGTCCCTGTTGCCTCCGTGCTGCCGGAGGCGTCTACGTTGTCAGATGACTTCTTGACGGAGCTGCTGGACCCGGAGCCCGATGCATCGGCGCTGTTGCTGGTATCGTTGCTAGGGCTGCTGGGGCTACTAGGTGATGAGGCGGAGACCGAGCCCGTGGCGATTGTTGAGGATGTGGCGTCCGCAGGTTTTAAATCGGACTCTGTGGTTGGGACTTCAGTCGAAGGTATTTCCTCTTTTGCTTCATCGTTAATTTCCTCGTCGGACGGTGAAGACATATTCGGATCTGCCATACCATGCACGTTTCAAGTTAGCCGATATGTTGTGTGAAGGAAAATGAACCTTCCTTTTTTGTTCCATGCGCTTCATAATTTACCAAGCAGGGGCCATCAGACACCTTAGCACTGGCTACAAATGGCACCGATTGTGATGGTTACTGATTACTTGTTAGTAATTGTATGTGTAGAAAATGTAGTGGAGGGCCTCGCTAACGTTAAAAGTTGCAATACACGTAATAGCTGTGATGCAGGCAGAAAATCGCTTCGGTTTGTGAATAACTGCAACGGTTTCGATAATGTACGGAAGTATATCGGGAAATTGATTATATCAAAGCCCTGTAACGTCCAGCATACCGCACCATGGAACATACCTTAAGTACTTGCAGAAGCGAAGTAACTTGCTATAAGTGCTTTACGCTTTCAGCTTTGGGGAATGTGCCTTGATTCATTTAAGTGCATTTTTATTGTAAATAATGTTTAAAGGATTGGGAACAAAAATTTTGCACAGGATAACTTAAGTTGACGTCAATTTTGGCTGAAAAGGGATCGAATGTCAGATGAATATTTTAATTTGAGTCTGAAAAAACTTGATGGCCGCATGCGTAAATTTATGCCGCTCTACCCAACCGGGGAGACCACCGACTTCATGGGGTGCGGTAGTACAACCTTTCGACTAGTTAACTCTCCGGCCGTCATCAGGTGTTAGGTAACGGGAATGGCTGGACCATGTTCGGCTTTCAATCGTGCACACACGACAGTCCAATTAGCTCATTAAAATTGCTGAGATTTGAACCAGGGTGTTCTGATTAAATCCAGCCATCCCCCAGTACTTATATTGAATCCATAACACCCAATGGCAGCCGGAGAGTTCACTGGCCGGAACAGTAAGTACATCCTAATACACCAGACAGAGAGGAAAATCCCAGCAATTGTTCCATTTGTATGTGCTAATGCATCGCCTCAGACCTCCCGTAAAAGTATAAGGACCCAGCTATCAGTTATTTTGTATGCACAGTGCGTAGTAAGTTGCAGCATTTACCTCGCTTAAGGGTACCGTAAGGGTGAAGGGCCCGAGGACAGCGGTGAGAAAAGTAGCTTTTCTGACACCGATGAAACTTGGGCTGGCCTTAACAGGCGTCCGGGTGACCGGTTCGATAGCCTTCGCTTGTGTGTGTATGTGGGTGGGGATGGGGGTCAAATTTAACCCCCTGAGATCTCAGGAACTGAGAGGGTTAGGAACACCAAATTCACAACGTGTTTTGACCTGCACGTGAACTCACTTAGGCTAAAGTTTGAGGTGCCTAGGTCATGACCTTTGTGCCAAATAAGGTCAAACAAGGTCAAATGGGTGGGTGGGTCTCCAAAGGGTCCCTAGAACCTAGATAACTGTTGCAAAACTGTAAAAAATAACTGTAACTAACATGCTCATTTATGGTCGGAAACCTTTTTTGATCTTTTGAAGCTCATGGAGACCAAAATCGCACAAGACTGCTTTGCATTTAAATGACCGACAGAGATAACGCTAGGCAATATGTTCCTAAAAACAAAGTGTTGACATGGGTCATTTTAGGTCAGTGGCCTCTTCTTACCTTTAAGAAGTCCATGGAATGTGTATAATGCGGTTCCCGTTATCAATGAATTTGACATGAACACCAGAAACTACCTTATACAGGAAACCCTGGAGTAATGAACAGGTTTGTTTGACCTTGGAATAATCTTTATGCCTGATCCTTGGTCGATGTAATTCGTTCATTCAATTGCTGTGTTGCCTACAAAAGTATTTCATAGTTGTATGGCTTTGTCTAACACTCCGTTGATCCATCAGATTGAACGACTCCCTGGAAATTGCCTTCGCTGAAACCATGGCCTGACCTTGACCTGCGATAGGTAAGCGACCTTACAAGATACATCTAAATTTTTGATGCCGGACGATCCGCTATTTAATTGCCTACAGCCATGCAAAACTTGGGTGCGGCTACGCCGCGCTGTTCGCAAATCATTCCAGAAAACCTTCGAGGGGTGGCCAATTTGACCCTCAGTTTGACCCCTTCTCTTCTTCTCCAGCTTCCAGACACCGCATGAAGAAGTAAAAACACTTATAAAGTTATCGTCTATTCATGAAGAATACACACTAAATTTTTGATCGCAGGCCAAATTCTAGGCTACCAAAGGTCACGAAAGGCCCACATGGTCATGTTAACACGTAAAGATGGATATTGAACGCACGGAAATAAGCCTTAGCTGTAGACTGTGTAGACTGTAAGGAGTTCATTCCGACCATTTCTGTTCCACCACAAGAATCAAGTCAGGTCACGTGCTGAGCTAAATATTATCTAAGGTCATCTTAGGTTAGCTTTATAAGCCATTCAAGTGAATAAATTTGAAGAGCTAACCTGGCCTATGCAGCAACTACAATGCTTTTCTGTGGCCAGAAATAGCGTGGTGTACATCTTCAAGCACTCAAGGTCACATAGCTATTGTCTCAATTTACGCTATACGCATTATGCGTTATCAGCTTTAAAAAAACACACAATAGGGAGGTGATTACACGCGTTGCCCTCGTTTATCAAGTCTCTCCGCTACGCATTGAACAACCAGCGTGTGGTCACCAGCCTCCATTTGACCGTGGTAAGGTCAAAATTTCGGGAATGATTGGATTGCCAACAAACTTAGTCAAGCAGAGGAAAAAAAAGAAGGAAATTGGAAAACATTGCACACTCGTGTATGCATTCAGGCAAACAATGGCTTGCGGTACGCCTAATACCTTAAACAAGCTGCATCCAGGAGTCCCAAATGACCTTAAGATCATGGTACTCAACACGAGGGTTTGCTTTGCCACCAGTGGGAAAGGAAAGAGATCTGCTGACTACTGGCCCTTAGGATCATGGCACTCAACACGAGGGTTTGCTTTGCTGCCAGTGGGATAGGAAGGAAATCTGCCGACTACGGGCCCGGGGATGACACTGGAGGCTGCGCATACCAGGCTCATTCAATATGACAGACGTTCTTTAAGTTTTTCATGATGTTGCACATTGGCTCCAGCCGTAATAAGGAGGAACAACGCCTTCACCGAAGAAAGACGGTCACGTCAAAGAGTTCAAATGCTTGCAAATCCCCTTACTCTGAAGTCTGCTGTTGTAAGCATGTGCTTTTGAAGCGAGTGGCACCTCACCCTAATCAATACTCAGACTTGCTTGTTGAGGCAGGGACGGATAATAGCCGTTGAGTCTCTGCCCACATTACGCTGGCCAGGTGACCGAACAAAGACCACATTCAGCGCTCAGGCGTCCAATAGGGACAATTAGCCATGCGAGAGATAACATTATTGCTGCTCTTTCTCTCCAGCTCTTTCCTGCGTCAGTGTTCGCTACGCCATGACATAGCCAGAGTGTTGTCTGACCTTGACCGGGCGCGGTCTTGCGCGTGGACCCTGAGGACAATACCCTCGGAGGTGACTCTCAGGGCCGCCCTGTCCAGTGGTGGAAGACCGTAGCTAAACGCGCCGCGGCCCTGAGCGTCGGTCGATGCCGCACGTTGTCTGATGGGCACGGGCAGTGGCGGCGGCACCACGCCACATCGCTTTCCTTAATGTGTGTGTTGTCTCGCCTGTGGGACTGCTCGTCCAACACCCGCGGGATCGCCCGTCGCCGCGTGGTCGGCAGGCCACCGCGAGTGATGCGAGGCTGCCGGCAGCAAGGCGGCCCGAGGGGCAGGTCCGAGGCGCTTGACCTGACGGTGACCTTACTCCATCCCGGGTGGGCTACCCGGCAACTCTGCTCTGGGAAGGGGAATTACATCCGCTTTAGAGATCTGAACTACTGGCCAGTTGTAAAAAACAAAACAAACGGGGTTTGATTTTCCTTTACGCAGTTTACATGCTTAAACAAAAATCTCCAGAATCCGCAGTGATGGGCAGCACCGGGAAGTACCAAAAAGAAAATGGTTTTGATGACGTACGATTCTCACATCTATTGACATATTTTGACCCAACTACCGAAGACGATAAACAATGATCTCAAAACTGACTGTTATGAGTAAATTTGAAAATGAAACAGCTCATTGGCGCTTTCATGATATTGAAAACGGAGACGTCATAGAAGTGCAAACCCAGTTTTTGATTGGACGTTTGGGAAAGAAATAGTATGATGCTGTGGTTCGTCGTCGCAAAAGGGGCTCTATGCCAAAATTTTTGCTTAAGTGGAGCCAGAATGCCTATTGGGTTCATACAAAGCTGAGTATGAGTTAGCTCCTGTTACTGCCGGTCACGTTTCTGTTATGCGTTGTAAGCCACGTATGCTCTCTTTACAGCACCTATGGACAGGTGGTTAGCGCGACAGGTGTATTCATTGTTCGAAATGAGGGAAGCAGGGACACGTGATTAGAGCATCGCCCATGGCCGCGGCTTTCAGTGGACAGCCCACTAGTGCGATATATATATATATATATATATATATATATATATATATATATATATATATATATATACCTCTTTTTACGACATCTGGAACCGCCCCTGCCATGCGACGTTTGCTATTGCAAAAAACATTCAGCGATGCACAGAGCAAATGCTTATAGAGCGCTTCTTCACTAGGTCTTTCTCGCAAAGCTCTCACAGTTCGTTAACGCGCGAGCCAGAGCTGCCTGCGCCAACCACCCCACGCTGGTTCCTAGTCCTGACCGATTAACCTGCGCGCTCCCGGGAGGCCGCGACCGGCGCCAGCAGTCGGTCAGCTCCTGCCCATAACTCACGTGCGCGTCACCTCGACACTCATGATCAATTATCATCCGACACTGATGGAGACCGGCGAGCGGCGCGGGTGTCGATGTCAAGCTGCCCGTCTGCACGGCGCCGAGCGTCACATCCGACGCACGGGCGCCGCTCGCAACGCCGCCCCGACGACGGAGCCGGCCCGTCGAACGGTGAGTGTCGGGCCCCAACCACCCGACAACGCCAGCTCTGACGCTGATCTTTTGGTTTTGTTGGTACGCATAGCAACGCGTTTGGATTCTGCCGAGGAGGATGAACAGAGGTAAAAAAGCTTACACCTGCCTCCCACGAAATACAAATGATCTGACCAGTCTCCTTAGCCATCGCCCTTCTCCGTTTTCAAAACGCGCACTGATAGCGGGAGGGTTGGTGATGGTGTTTTCTAATATGGATTTATTTTAGTAGAATACACCAGGGGATTGGTCTCAACGAGATATCGCGATTGGTAGTAAATTTCTTGTTAGATAATTGTCCCCATTATGACACTTGAAATGTTCAATTTTGCAGAAAATCGCATTCTTGAGCTTTGCATCAGACCTACGGGAGTGTACGCTCTGGGCACACTCAGCCTAAATAGGCGTGATCTTTCTTTAATTTTGAGTGCAGTGGTGTACATTTTGCGTGTTTTGAAGCCATGTTTATCAGATATGGCTCCATTCCTGTAACCACGTCGGCCCACGGCATCGTCGGTTGCCGCCCGCCGCTCGCGCCGGCAGTAGATCGCCGTGCAGTGTTCCTCAAAAACCGCTGCTGCTCTTAAACCAGGAGA